ACTCACTATTACTGAATGGGCTTTGCATTGGTATCATCTTTAACATCAGATTGCTGGGTTTACCACCAAATAATTTATTCCCTGAAGATATTGAGTTATACTGATTTGTTTCGCGTGTGCAGTTTCTAAATATATGGTAAGCTAACACAATGTGGAGAATGTCTGACGTGCAATTTAGAACCGGCTTGTTATTTACTAGCTTTCTTAGCGAGCAATTAGAAAGAAACTCGCATATTTCCCCAATTGTTTTCTCCCAGCTTGTAACACTGGCATGCCTACATGGATAGTGCCAAAGTGCATATGCACCCTAGAGAATTGTGCCCCAACCATGCCATAGAGCAGCTTGGAAATCTATCTGCTTCCTCCCTTCTGCCCATAGCTGTCAACTGTCCTTTATTTGGCGGGAAAGTCCCTTATCCCAGCGCTGTGTCCCACTGCTGTCCCTTATTGATGATGTCCCTTAAATTTCCCGGGTTTCAAAGGAAGCAGCTCCTCTCCCTCCCTCCCTGCCGGCCAGGGAGGAGGGAGGCTCCAACTGTGTTGCTTGGCTGCGTTGCTCACCCAATAAGGAGTCCAAGAACGACTGGGTGGAGCTTGTATGCCTTGTGCCGAGCAAATCAGCAGCGTTGCCTGGGGACTTGCCTTTGCTCAGCGCTTCCCAGCGGAGATGTGACGGTGGTTTTCCTTGCTGCATCCCCTTTGCCGGGTTGCTGCGCTGTGGGAACCACCGCTTGAGGCTTCGTTTGGCTGCTGGCTGGGCTTTCTGCCTTTGGCTTGGAGGGGCTCAGAAGTTGAACATACCTGTGCTTGGAAAATCCCTTATTTTGGCTGCCGATCCCTTATTTTTGAGGCTGCTGGTCCCTTATTTTCAAATCTGTAAGTTGACAGCTATACTTCTGCCAATACGGATACACCTGAGAACAAGTGGGGATGGGGGGATGGCTAACCTGCAACATGTCTGCAAGAAACAATCAAGAGAATTAAGGCAAATCTAGAGCATATATTTACCAAACAAAAAGTAGTACAGTTGTGCGGCAATCTTTGAGAGTCTGATTGAAAGTAAGAGGCCAACAGTTAAGAACATCTGTGCATGCACTCACAAAGTAGTCAGCTTTGCAGTTAACACAGCGTAACAGCAATCAATGAGAGCTTCATTGAGAGTAAAGGGCTTCCTTCAAGAACTTTTGCATATATATGTACAAAGCAGCCAGGTCAGCCTGAGTGCTAATTCTACATTTCTTATATTTGCATTTCAAGCAAAAGAAATTATTTTGAGGGTAAATGGCACTCTAAACAGTGCACCTGAACATTACAAACTAGACAAATTCAAATCCACGCCTGAAATTACAGACTTCAGCAACATATCTGAATAATGTAGTATCTGAATGAGCACAAAGCAAAATAATTGTCACTGAAATTATTGTGTATGAATGGAGTCAGAGATTGGACATTATTTGTCTCTCAATTATCTACCCATCACAATAATGGGGTGCTGTGGCAAACAACAACGATACGATCGAAGGTGTCATCCTTGCTAATGTAGCATGTCTGAAAAATTGTTGTATGTACAAGCTACATTAGCAAGAAACGCTTCCCCCTTGGTTGTGACTACCGCAGCTGATGTGAGGACTCGGAGTAACCCATTAAAATATTTAGAATTAACTAATGCAACATCTACATAATTGCAATGGGCAACAGGTCTGCAGACAGGAGCACATGGAGGTATTCCTTGGTGTAATTCATAAACATAGGAAACCTTTCTAATAAGTAACAAAGGTAGATTCAACAAGCCTGAATGCTGCCTGCTGCTGGGCTATGGTGACTGGCAGTAGTTCTCCAGGCTTTCAGACAAGAGTTCCTTTCTTAGTCCTACATGCAGATGCCAGAGATTGAGACTTCCACATACAAAACATGGGCTCCACCACTGAGCTGTAGCCATTTCATTAAAGAGAAACACCAGCTTTGCTATCTATACAGTGATACCTCGGGTTACACATGCTTCAGGTTTCATATGCTTCAGGTTACACACTCCGCTAACCCAGAAATAGTGCTTCAGGTTAAGAACTTTGCTTCAGGATAAGAACAGAAATTGGGCTGCAGCGGCAGCAGGAGGCCCCATTAGCTAAAGTGGTGCTTCAAGTTAAGAACAGTTTTAGGTTAAGAACGGACCTCCGGAACGAATTAAGTACTTAACCCGAGGTACCACTGTATACTGGTGTCATGTTGCCAAAGAACCGTATTTCTGAACATAGGCACCTTTTGGTCCTAAACTGGATGAACATCCAATGGGATTGTAATTTCTTAGGTGCTGCATGCACTGTGTTCACAGATTTTAAAAAGGGAACCCTTATACTGCCGGTGTCTGACTTCATAAGAACAAACAGCAGGTGGCTGGATGGGTTGCTGTCCATCAGTGAAACACCTGTGTGGAGATATGATTAAACAGCTCTCCCGAACTATACAGTTCTAAAGATGACTTCCAGACTGCTATGCCTTTTCTCAAGTCATCTGAAAGCACCCTTTGAGAAACTGACACCGTCTCCACTGGATGGTGTCACCAGGAGAATTGCTGAGAATTACTGTAAAAGTTCAAGATTCCCATTAGGACTCTAACCCAAATAATACATGAGGCCCGGCATTCAAATCCAGTAATTTACGGAAATGGATGGGTTTTTGAGCAAATAAATTTAGAAGCCATGCCCAGGGCACCAAGACTTCACAGGGTTGCTTAAAACTAATAAGCCCAAAAGCGATTGTGTTGGCTATTAGTGGAGAAACTGTCACTTAGCAGTATTATTTTTTCTTTGAAAAGGACAAGAAAGATAACCCATCATCTGCATTCTGCTTTCAGTCTATAGCCTTGTGCGGTAATGTATTAGCCATTAATAAGGATAACCGCCATAGAGGGAAAGAGCCTTTTTTATTTCAGGAAACTTGTCTTAGATGTAGCAGCCAGACTTTTAATGAGGCTTTTGCTTTTTGTCTAGTTTTTGAGCAAGGTTGACTGGGGTCAAGTAATATGCTTGGCTGCGACTGCGGCATCAGTGATGGATCTAAATGTGCTTCTGCCATGAAAACAGCTATGGAACATTTATAAAAAATAATAATAATGAGAAATGATGGTACTGTAATAACACAAAAGGAGTTTCTTATTTAATCATATGTGTTGATACTGTACAAGAGTGATGACCTTTTTGAAAATGGTGGTAAATTCGATTCAGTTGAGGAAATGATGAATTGTAAAATACCCTGAGATCCACTAGTTTGCCAGATGGATTATATGAAAGAAGCAGTGTGTAAACAGGAGATAATCTTGAATTTGATAAACTGCAAGATTGACTTTACTGACTTCAGTGAAATATTGAAAAGCATCAACTTTCCTGACAAAATGTGAATGCTTAGGAAAAGTTTGGAATATATTAAAAATGTAAAATGGGTATCATATATGAAAACAAAGGTCAGAATAGATGTACCACTTCCTGTCTTATTGGCATTGGTTATTAGCTATACACATCAGGAGGAATTCAATGTTTTACTAAGGCGATTGTTCTGCTAGAATCCCTTCTCTCCTTCTGACGCCCCCTCTCCAATGTTAACCAGGGTGGCCAAAGCCACCCATATCCCCAAATTAGGCCTGAAACCACAACAAAAGTGGTCTACATAATGTTTCATCATAGAACAAAAACAAGCACAGCAACACAAAATTCCAGTAGTTGGCACAATCTTTTATTTCCAATGCTAAGTGTGTGTGTGAGACTGAAATAAATTGATAAATTAATTTCCTCATTTACTGCTCCATCACCTCTTCCTCTGTTGTCTGTCCTGTGTTGACTATCCTGTGTAGCCTTTTAGATTGTAGGCTTCTCTGGCAGGGAGTGTGGTGTAGCGGTTAAGAGCAGTGGACTCGTAATCTGGTGAACCAGGTTCGCCTCCCTGCTCCTCCACATGCAGCTGCTGGGTGACCTTGGGCTAGTCACACCTCTCTGACGTCTCTCAGCCTTACTCACCTCACAGAGTGTTTGTTGTGGGGGAGGAAGGGAAAGGAGAATGTTAGCCGCTTTCAGACTCCTTAGGGTAGTGATAAAGCGGGATATCAAATCCAAACTCTTCTTCTTCTTGCTATACGTAGAGTACATTGTTGTTGTTTAGTCGTTTAGTCATGTCTGACTCTTTGTGACCGCATGGTCCAGAGCACACCAGGCACTTCTGTCTTCCACTGCCTCCCGCAGTTTGGTCAAACTCATGCTGGTAGCTTCGAGAACGCTGTCCAGCCATCTCGTCCTCTGCCGTCCCCTTCTCCTTGTGCCCTCCATCTTTCCCAACATCAGGCTCTTTTCCAGGGAGTCTTTTCTTCTCATGAGGTGGCCAAAGTATTGGAGCCTCAGCTTCACGATCTGTCCTTCCAGTGAGCACTCAGGGCTGATTTCCTTCAGAATGGATGCGTTTGATCTTCTTGCAGTCCATGGGACTCTCAAGAGTCTCCTCCAGCACCATAATTCAAAAGCATCAATTCTTTGGCGATCAGCCTTCTTTATGGTCCAGTTCTCACTTCCATACATCACTACTGGGAAAACCATAGCTTTTACTGTACGGACCTTTGTTAGAGTACATAGCACTATATAATTAGTCAATACTAAAAATTCTCAGGAAATTAACTACTCTACAAAGTTTTGCACTTTTTTGGCACTTTTTCCATGCCTGAGTAAAAATGCAGAATACACAGAACCCAAAATATGTATACTGAGGCCTGTTAACTACGATCGAAATTATTGCAGATAGCAGGAGCCGATTTGAAGTTCTTGGCAGAGGCGCTTCATGGGCTTTCAGTTATAGCTAGACCTTGCATCGGCTGATGCATGCTCTATGTGTTATGTACCAAAAATCAAGCAAATAATAACCTTGATGATGATGATGATGATGATGATATTTGTATACCGCCCTTCATCTGTGGATCTCAGGGCAGTTCGCAGCATAAAGATACAAGATAAAAACACAAAATACGTAATAAAAACAAAACAACCCATAACCCCACCTCCCCCTTCTCTGACTTCTCTTGTAGCTAATTCCTTTGTGGATATATCATTGGCACTATACACTTACTTCCTGCTTGCAGCAAATGGGGCTCTGGGTTTTGTGGGAGGGGTGGAATGTGGTGGACCAGATGGACCTCAAAAGTTCTTTCCAGCTCTGTTATTCATAGTGTGGGGTTGTTGTTTTGATTAAAAGCATGCGTTATACAAACTGTGCAAAAGTTTTGCCTTTTGAGTGCCACTTTTTTTAAAAAAGCAAGTGGCATTTCCAAGAACCTTCCACACATGTCTCATCTTAGTCATTGGTAGAACTGTGGCATGATGACGTGTATGGGGTTGGGATGTGCTGTGAAAATACCTTGAATTACTTGGAATTATATGGAAGAGATTGGGCTATGTATAAAAGAAGAAGCAAGTGGCTTCTTCCCACTTGGAAGCACCATTGTGTCAGTTTTAAATAACACTTTGGTGGTGGGGACATTTTTTAGTTCTCTTTGTGAAATGTTGCGCCCACTTCATAACCCACAGTATACAATTTCATTCCAACCTCGCTGAGAAACACTGAGTGGCATTTTATCTTTGACAGAGTAAATGTGACAGGATAAATGTGGTTTGTATTGATTTCTGTGTCTAGTGCAAGAAACGTCTCAATCCTATTATGAATTGGTGCTGAATGCTCTGAGAGACAAAAATGAAATGGAACAAGCATTACTAGGAGTGGAGAAGAAAAGGCTGGAAAACGTAAGTGTGGAGATTGTTCTACTTTATTTAGCTGAACTCTGCCCCCACTTCTTCTTTTCTCTCTTCAGAAAATGCAGACTAATTATCAGATGGTGCCTTCAGAGACACATCTGTACATTTCCTGTAACGAAATAATAACCAGCTTTTTAGCTGTAGTGCATTGTTGTCAGGGACTGTAGTTTGCCACAAACAAGACTCCAAAATGCCAAAAAAAAAAAAAAACCCCAACGCTCAGGTTCACAACCGGCAGAATAAATTGGTCCCTCCACCATTATTATTTTTTTCAAAGTATCACTTATGTATAGACTCCTCTTTCGGGCAGTGGGGACATTTCACAGGGGAACTGCATATCCTTGCAACATTTTTTTTCTGGTGAAAATAGGGATGTCCTGTTTATTACCCTCCAACATTTATCCTATGAAAATAGGGGAAAGTGGGACATTTTGGAATCAAATCAGAAACTGGGACAGCTTCTGTAAATCCAACTGTCCCTGGAAAACAGGGTGGGTTTGGAATTGACATATTTTTCTTGGGATTGAGTGGATTTAACAAAAACAATGATATTCAGTTTTATTAAGAAACTAGAAACTCATCACCTTCATTATCGTTTCCCCCTTAATAATAAAGATGCAAGTTTTCTTAGGGAGCCAGTGTGGTGTAGTGGTTAAGAGCAGTAGTCTCATAATCTGGGGAACAAGGTTCGTGGCTCTGCTCCTCCACATGCAGCTGCTGGGTGACCTTGGGCCAGTCACACTTCTCTGAAGTCTCTCAGCCCCACTCACCTCACAGAGTGTTTGCTGTGAGGGAGGAAGGGAAAGGAGATTGTTAGCCACTTTGAGACTCCTTCGGGTAGTGATAAAGCGGGATATCAAATCCAAACTCTTCTTCTTCTTCTAAGCATATGTTTGCTGAGAAAACATAAGCTACCAGAGCAGTCCACTCACATCTATGTTAGGGCTCCTCAAGATGACCTATTTATTAATTAATCATAACCTCCTGATTTGCTTGCACAAAGCTTACATGGAAGTTAGATTAAATTGGGTCTTTATTTCACATTTGTTCTGATTTGTTTGCGAGGAGGCTGTATGACAATAGGCGTGTGTCCTGATTTGCTTGTGGCGTGGAACATCCTTCTATCAATCATGCGTTTTCCCATACTTTACAATGCTTTTCCCTGTCACTTTCCCAACGGCTAAAAGCCTTTTAAAAAGTGGATTTGTTGCACTAGTGTGACAGGGTGCTTTAATCTACTTTACTTGTGCAAATACTGAAACCCTGGAGGTACCTTTAGTTGTTTGTGGCCAAAAAGAATTAGCTGGCTTTGGTAAGATTGCCCCCATGTAATTCTTAACTGTTGCAGGGGATTGGGTGCTTTCAAGCCTATGAGGAGAATTGCTCTGTATGAAAAAGAGGAATCAGGCACATTCAGAGCAGTGCTGCTATACTCTTGCGATCCCCCTCTTGCCTTTGATTTGCAGAATAAATTATCTTGCCCTGGAATGCCAATGCAACACCTCTGAAGTCAGCCTGACAAGGGATACGGGTTAATAAGGGTCTCAAGGATGGAATTAATCAACCAGGGTCACAAAGAGCTGTCTCTGTTTAAGATGTCAGCTTTCAAAACTGTACTATGCAGGAATCAAATATATTAAAAATGTAGCTCTCAGAACCTGGAACTCCTATGAAAATAAGGAAACTTCTTCAATCAAAAAAGAGAAGTTAGGAATGTCATAAAATTAATGAAACTAGGTGAATAATTTGGGAACACTGTTTCATGAATGATCAGAGAAAAAGCCATGACAGGAATAGAATGAATCTAAAAGAAACCAATGAAGAATAGGGATGCTGCCAAAAAAAAAAGGGGGGGGGAGGGAGAGAATGATTTTGACTAATATCTCCTTCCTTCTAATAACTGAAATTTCTACCCCAGTTTCTACTCCAATAGGTAAAATATGCATGCGAAATGTCATTCAGGTCAATAAATTATCGGCTCACTAAATTATTCAGCTGAGAAAATGATCAGCACTCGTCCACATTCATGAAAGTGAGAGGTATCATGATGGCTATGTTCTGCCTCCATACTTGGAAGTAATAACGCTTCTGAAAAGCAGTTGCTGGAAACCACAGGAGAGGAAGGTTTTCTTGTTCCTGGGTCCTGCTTGTGGGCTTTCCACAGGGATCTGGTAGGCCACTGTGAGAACAGGATTCTGGGCTAATTAGAACATTGGTTGATCCATGCTCCCTTCACTATTTTTTTGTTTTGGTTTTTTTTTTAGAATTGAAAGCATTTCTGTTCTAGATTGTGAATTCATACCGTCTAATGATTCTACTCCCCTCATCACTTTCCACAGAAAGATACAGAGATCTCAGATCTGAAATCCAGCCTGCAGTCGCTGACGGAGAGTTTGGAGCAGCTCACAGCCCAGCAGAAAGAGCAACACTTGAAGCTCTGTGAGCGGTTGGAACACCTGCAGCTCCCTAGCCTCCTGGCTGATTTGCAAACATTCATTTCTGCACCCAGAGTACCAATTCATATAAAGGACAGTGTTTCCCAGACTTCCCCAGACATGATGTCCAAACAGGTACCTAACAATTCCCACTCAAGTGATGCTCCTCCAGGCAGCCGGGTCATTTCGGCTGCCACAGCCTCACAGGGCAAAGAAAATGCTGACATTCAGCAGAGCAGCCGTTCTGGGGCTGGGAGCCGTGATGCTGACCGTCCTGATTGCACCTGCCGCTCCAGTGCAGCCACTGCTGCAGGCAGCCACCAGGAATGCTTGTCATATACTCAAGGACCAAGTCTATCCACACCACTGAGGAAAGTGATCAAGAAAGGCAGTCGGGCAAAGGGACTTAACACTCCAAAGCAGCCACTGTTGAACTGGACTCACAACGACAGTGCAAACAGCCACAAAAGTGAAAAGCTTGCCAGAGAGAGCATGGTACAAATTAAAGGTGGAGGAAGCAGGATGAAAAGAGAACCCCCAAAATATAGTGAGAGGAAAACACTTTATTCCTCCAGGAAAGGAGGGAATCATTCAAAGGTTACTACTAATGCCAGACAAGGGTTTTCTAAGTCCATCAAGTCTCCACACCTTCTGCTCCAATTCCATGAAAATTCACAGAATATACCAAATATGCCAGTAACGTCCGGAGTTAAAAAGAAAGTGGATCTTTCTTGTTCAAAAAACAATAGTTTCTGGGCAGGCTCCTCTCCAGAAAGCTCCTTTTCCGAAAACCAAGTGAGATGGCTCAATCTCTCTGATGATTACTCATCTGCTTGTGGTAAACCAGCCCAGCAGAAGACTAGAACATATTGCCCGTTATTTTTTGACAGTGATTTTTCTGATTAAGAGTGTTCTCTAAAAGATGCTTCTTGTATGTAATCATCTTAGTAATATGTTGTTATGAAAACCTTTTGTGCATCACAAGCAGTAATATGCTCCTTTCTGCAAAACTCCCAAAATGCATCACTATAACCTTGAGCAAAATTATCTATACCTGGCTTCCTTTTAAAAAAAAATGCATTGGGCCTATTAAGATGTTCCTTAACCAGATAGAAAACCTGGGGTAAGTCTCAGACTTCCTCATCCTTCACAATCTGATCTTAGGCTGTTCCATAGTCTAATAAAAGCAGGAACTCCGTTGAACCTGCCTCCCCCGCAGAATCCATCCCCAGAAAGAATAACTGATCTCTGCGGTGGCATTTTGGGAGATACACTATGTTCAAACAAAATACAGCATAGATCTGCCTTCATTTTCTTCCCGTGTCAAGGAGATGGGAGGAGATTGTACATGTGCCTGAGACACTTAAAGGGCTGAGACATCTCAACAGACCCTTTGATATCCTCCTTCTCCCCCGAAAGTGTGTCATCTAAAAACAGAACAAAACCTGTTATGTGTGTTGTGTCCAATAAAGCAGTTATTGTTTACTTCGGGCAGTGCTGGTACAGTGGGTTTGGGCAGGGGAACAGAGTAAAAGATGCAATTGCTTTTATTTCTGATGTGACTGTTTGAAAGTGTTAGTTAAGAGTGCATAATAAAAGTCCAATAGATAGTTATTGGCGCGCTACCAATAAAGTTGGAAACGTTCTTGTAATTGAATGTTTCCGTAACACACATCCCACAGACGTGTGGGAAAGTAGCACCATGTGGTTTGTTGGTGTATGTGTGATAAAGAGTCCTTTGTGGAGTGGTATTTGCTGGAGAAAGCATGCATGAGTGTGTTGAGATGGAGAAGACTTTATTGTCCATATCGCTTTCCCCCTCCTGGTATGATTCCAGCAGCTTCTCGCTCCCTGCAAATTGAGGCACATTTTGAACTTAGGTATTACACCAGTCGAGCGCTCTTCAGTGGGGAAAAGCATCTTTCTTGATGGAACCCAGAAGGAGGAAAGACCGAACAAGCAGGCAATTTCAAAAAGGGAAATACTGTACCATGTATATAAAAAAAAGTTCCCCAAAACATTCGCCTTACTTTGCAGGGTTGCTAGTTGCAAGCCAATCCTGTACAGAAACAGTGTGTATCTGAAGAAGTGTGCATGCACACGAAAGCTCATACCAAGAACTAACTTAGTTAGTCTTTAAGGTGCTACTGGAAGGAAATTTTTTTGTTTTGACTATGGCAGACCAACACGGCTACCTATCTGTAACTGTACAGAAACGTTTACTTAGATCAGAGGCAAAAGCATTTCGTGGTCACCTAGATGGGCCAGATCTGCCCCTCTCCACAGGGGGCAAAAGCCTTTTTTTCAAAGCAGAGGCTAAAAGAGAAGTTTGGGCTTGAAGCACTGGCTCAATTTTGGGCTCGGTGTTTAGGATCAGCCAGTGCTAACGATCCCCAACCCTCGCCAGCTGTGCAGAAGTAATTTCCTTTGAAGCTAAAATCAATTAATATGCAGATAGTGAAGAAACAGACCCCCCCCCAATTAATCTATACAAGAATAAATACTTCAAAGAAACAGGCGAACTATCCAGGTAAGCTGAGGTTAATTGTTTAGTTAATTTTACTCTTGCCAAGCAGCTCTCAAAGTCCCCAAACCAGTGGTAGATATCTCAGACGAAAAGGAATGTTGGTAATGAATCAAAATCCGTATTTTCAAGGGTATGAGAGTCCCGTTTTATGTGATGCTTCAGCCTGCGGTGAAGGCACCTGGAGATCAGTTTGGGATTTTCAGATATCCAGCATATCAAAATTATATCCAGGAATGCCCTTTTCATCACAAAAGATAGATAGTGCGGCCTGTAGAGAGGCAATTGTGACTGCACAAAAGCAAGGGGGGCAGAAGGAAATGCAGTGGAGGCAAGCGCTACTGGGACGCAGCCCTCCCAAGGAGAATGTCAAGCGATCGAAAGCAAAATTCCCAAGAAATCTCAAAGCTGCATATTCTTTTCTCGCCCCCCACATACATTTTATACTTTTATTTGAACTCTGAGAAGCTCTGCAGACGTTTCTGCCAGTCTACTGTTCTCTGGCCAACGACATCTCTGTAGTGCTCAGGCAATTCCAATCCCAAAATTATAGCTAAGGCAAAAGGGTCCCTCCGATGTGTCTCTGGGCAGAAAAAATATGTGAAAATTGAGCACTAGGGCTGCCTGCTTTTAAGCCCCTTTGTGGTAGTCCCGCCTCCCTCCTGCTATGCAGCCTAGTAGGGATGCTTGAAGGGCAGTCTGAGCATGCTCAGAACTGTTCCCTCAAAAGCCACACCTCAAAACACATGATTTGGAGTTTTCCAGGAGAATGGTTTGGTTGCCAATTTGAGCAGCTTGGGTTTTTTTATTTATTAATATTTGTTAAGAGGAAGTAACGGAAGACATGAGTGTGTCAGTATCTTTCTGCGCCCATTTATTTATTTAACCATTTGTATTTTTTCATGGGATTGGAGGAGGAGGGTTAGGAAGGCTGTCTAGTATTCAAAGCATATTTCGGGTTTTTGTTGGTTCCTGGAAATCTGTGGCACTGTGGCATGCAGTACTCTTCACATGTCTTCCCAGGCCTCTTACCATTTTAAGGGCTCGTTTACTGAGGATACCAGCCAAACCAGCCCTTAAAACTAGGAGGAATTTGGGAAAGTCGGAAGAGAGGACAGAATGCTTGTGCTAGGAGTGCATTAGCAGTAACACTCTAATCAGGAGTATGAAATCAGGAGTTTAGATATGTAGCATAGGGTGGAAATGAGGTGGTAGAGCCTTGCTGAGGTGGTAAAATGGACTGCACCACTTTAGAGAGCGGGTGGAGAGAGATTCGTGAATTATCCCCTGGGAAGAGGGGAAACCCAGGTAGGAAAAGAACACAGCAAAGAGCAGGCTGCAATAGCACTTTTCTCCCTGTGGTAGTTTGTGGGTAGAGATGGGGAGGGATTTGTTTTTTGTTTTTAAAGATAAACCCCTCAAATCCCCACTTGTTGAAACAATGTGAGGACTGAAAAACAGCCATCCTTCAAAATTCTCACGTACCCCAATTTTGCAATGCAGTTTGAAAGCCAGTTTTCCCAAAAATGCACATATGAGGTAAAAGTGTGCATTTAAAAAAATTACGTGAAAAAACAAAAACGCAGTCTGTTCGGGGAAATTGGTTGCAGAAATGTGTATGTTAGTCAAAACTGTGTTTATTAGGGTAAATTTACACTAAAATGCTGGTGAATTTTCATGAGGATCTTTTTTTAAAAAATCAGTTGCTGCCAAAATGTGGAGATCTGAATTTAAGTTTGGGGAAAATGAGAGACCTGAACTTGACAGTTCTTCCTATCCCTATTTGCAGGTGTTATTAATATTACTAACTTGCAGGAACTTTTTTCGATGAGAGAGAATTACAAAAACGATACCCTAACTGGTACAGAATTGGACCACCTCTTTCTGTGGCATGTCACAACAAGGCCTGCGATCTCAAATCCCCAACATTGGGCAGACGATGCTCTTTTCTTACGCAGCGATTTCCTGCGTGATGTAGAATAGTTGCCAGGCCTGTCTGCGTGAGACATGATCCATGCATGCTGCTCCAGCTGCCGCTTAACTTAATTTATCTCAATCCCCTGGAAGACGAAGCTGTGAAAAAATTATCGCTGCGCGTCCTGCCTCTGGTTTTCATAGGCGCAGGATCCCATCATTGCCTTTCCTTTCTGTAATTCTGCGATGTTCACGCCTCGTTGGGCAAACATGACAAGCTGACATTTTCCATCAGTGCATCAACATTCCCCCGTGGAAGCCAAACGGCTCCTTGGAAAGTGACAGCGACACAAATGACTAAGGAAGTCTGCAGGGTCCTGAGAGCGATGGGTAATGCTGGTGCGATAGCCGTCGTGTATGTGTGTCTCTCTACTCGCCAGCCCGCCTTCCCTTATGCCATCATTACTCAAACAGAAGAACTTGAGAAGGGAGCTGGTGGTGTCATTACCTTGGGGTCTAGATCCCTCAACAGCAAGGAAATAAGGGCCAGGATGCTAAAGGGATGGGGTGCTAGCTCCAGAAGCGTTCTGCTGTCCCCCTGCCTGAAGACGCAGCCCTGCCAATTCTCTGACACAGAAGACTCCACTGCAGAAGACATGAGGCTCCATCGCAAGGGGCTGCCCTTGAGACTGACCCAGAAACTCCAGCGGGTGCAGAATGCCCCGGCGAGACTCCTTACGGGGTCCTCGCCGCGGGATCACATTCAACCGGTGCTATACCAGCTGCACTGTCTCCCGGTGGAGTACAGGATCAGGTTTAAGGTGCTGGTTTTAACCTTCAAAGCCCTATACGGCCTAGGACCCTCGTACCTACGGGACCGCCTCTCCTGGTATGTACCATGGAGGACCTTACGGTCTTCAGACAAAAACATCTTGGAGGTCCCGGGCCACAGAGAGGTTAGGCTGGCCTCAGCCAGAGCCAGGGCTTTTTCAGCTGTGGCTCCGATCTGGTGGAACGCTCCGTCACAAGAGACTAAGGCTCTGTGGGACTTGACATCTTTCCGCAGGGCCTGCAAGACAGAGCTGTTCCACCAGGCCTTTGGCCAGGGCACAGCCTGACCCCCTCCTGTGGTAATTCTTCACAGAACTCGAGCCCAATGATTGCCATCAATTTGTTTTGAACTGATTTTATAATGAATTTATTTTAAAATGCTGTATTACTGTTGTTAGCCGCTCTGAGCCTGGCTTCAGCTGGGGAGGGTGGGATATAAATAAAAAATTATTATTATTATTATTATTATTATTATTATTATTATTATTACTACTACTACTACTACTGGAGAACTTTAAGCAGAACAGCATCTAGCAGCGCAGGTGCTGCGAAAAGCTAGGCTGCACCTATCTAAGGGCTCCGTTTCAGCTTGTTTCTTGCTAGAGTAACCTCCGAATTCTGTGTTCCCCTGGAGTTCCTTCCCCGCACCCCTTGCCTTGATTTGCACCAAGGCTGGGACTCGCCATGGCAGGGCGCCACACCTGGATCAGACCACAGGTCTCGCTTAGCAACCACATTGGGCAAAAGATTCCTGCACTGCAAGGGGTTGCTGCACTGCAAGGCATCCCCAAACTCGGCCCTCCAGCTGTTTCGGGACTACAATTCCCATCATCCCTGACCACTGGCCCTGTTAGCTAGGGATTATGGGAGTTGTAGTTCCGAAACAGCTGGAGGGCCAATTTTGGGAATGCCTGGTCTAGATGACTGTTGTGGTCCCTCCCAACTCTACAGTTCTAAGCTTCTAAGATCTTCCATCCCTCAGTGGCCCATCAGGGGTGCTTTCAGACAGTTGCAATCACACCCCAGCAAATTCAGATTAAGAATGTAAGAGCCCTACTGACCCGTCTAATCCAGCATCCTGTCCATAGCTGTCAACTTTTCCCTTTTCTTGCGAGGAATCCTATTCTGAATAAGGGAATTTCCCTTTAAAAAAGGAAAGCGTTGACAGCTATGATCCTGTCCCCACAGTGGCCTGTGGGAAACTTGCAAGCAGGATTCGAACACAGCACTCTCCGCTCATCTGCTTTCCAGCAACTAATATTTGGATGCGTTGCTGCCTCCAGTTGTGGAGGCAGGGCCCAGCCATCATGGCGTAAACAGGGGTGAAATTATAGATTGGGTGGTCTTTTGAAACAGACCCGCTTCCCCAAAATATTGCACTTG